GTTCTATCAGACCGCACGGTTCGTGCTTTAAATGGTACTTGCTGCCAGCTTGCTTTCCCTGTCTCTCTCCCTTTGAAGCAGACTGGACAGCTTCCTCAAGCTGGCGTTATCACTCCCTCTAACCACTCTTGGCAGGCAATCTAATTCCCCCTGAAAAGGTCACCGCCATTTTAACTGCCTTTCAATCACATTAAGCACGCTGCCGCTCGTGCTCAGAGCACTGCGCCCGCAGCTCTCCTGACTGAGGTGCGATCGATAAACTGACATCCCGCCCAACACCCAGCTCCCCAACAGCCCCAGCCGTGCTCTCCTCCATCCCCTCTCCCGGGCAAGCTGCCTCCCGGAACGGACGGGAAGAGACCAAGTGACAAAATCCTCTCCTCAAATCTGAGGCAGCAGAAGGGAACCGCTAACCTGGCATTTACTAATCTTTGTCCCATCTGTTAAGAAACAGAAGGGTGCAAGCATCCCCCACCCCCCCGCCTTCCTTAGACCTACAGAGGCAGCAACTTCACAGGACAGTTTGCTTAGGCACCAGTCCAGACACCTTTGAAGCTGTGTTACAAAGAACAAGCCTCCCTCAAGCTTCCCTCAATGCAATCATTACCGTTATCTCTCCCCCCGAGCTGCTTTTTTTTTTGCAGTTACGAGTTATGTGTTCCACCCATCGATCCCTGTGTAAGACACTGTTTTAAGTCCTCTTGCCTTTTGACTGTGCTAAGCCGTTTAAGAGATGACAGCAGCTTCTATCAGTGTGAAGCTGATGTGATTCTTTTCAGATAAAGCACTTTTTTTCCACTTCCCCCCCTCCCTTCCCTTCTTTCAAGTAAGAAACATACACACAAAAAGAGACACTGAATCTTTCAAAGAAAAAAAAAAAACCTTTTGAACTTCCCTTAGGAATTCTTTAAAGGGATAACCTTACAGTGTAAACACCGAGGGTAACGTGCATCCATTCTGGACTGGAATAGAAGAATTGCTACAAATATGTTGAGCATTAAAAAAAACCCAACAAACCCCACATCAGAGAGGAAGCCACTTGACGCTTTCACTTGAGAAGCCTTGTTGGCATCCTAAACACAGAAACTCATTAAAGATGGCATGAAATAATCCCCTGCAACAAAGAGCTTCAGAGAGAGATGATTCAGAGACATGGGGAGAGATAGTTACTGAATGTTCAGGTATTTCAAGAGAAATTTTAGTCTTGTGACACTGTACTGAGGCAGGGGAATATTTGATAATTTTATCTGTATGGTTTTACACTTTGAAGTACAAGCTTGATGTACATGGAGTTTGGTATTTCATGCTGGTATTTTTCTGTACCTACCCCCAAAGAGAACCACAAATTCTCCTACAAACCCCTAATTCAAGCAGGACCTCTGCTTAAACAAAGTGGTTCCAAACCCTATATAATTGCCAACAATCTTCATTTACACCCTGCATCCTTCCAGTTTTGGAATGCAAATTGCATGATAGCAAATGATGCTTTAAGAAGTCAGGAGGACAGCTAGAAGTACTAAACATTTCCTGACTGAAATCCTTCACCAAACCAAACAGCTTCGGAGACAACACTCTGATCCCTGCACTTCTCAGGTCATATTCATACTTGCTGCCACAGTCCGTTCTTTCCTGCCTCAGGTATGCCAAGCTGTGGCACCCAAGTAGGGTGTGCTTTGGCTCTGCTGCACTAGACCTGACTGGGGGCTTGCAGCTGTAAAACCCATAGAGAAGACAAAGAATTTCCAGCTTCTGAGACAGCCACTCAAGGCTAGCAGAGCAAGTTTTCCATGCAAGTGCTTTGGAAGCAGAAATCTTGGGAACTTTTTAAGTGAAAGTGTCAGCTTCTATGTTTTAGAACATCTTCCAGAAAATCCAAACAGTGCTGTTCATTTCCCTGATGTTTCTGTTTTTAAGAAGAAAAACCCCAAGGTCTCTCAATCTTACTCCAACTGAGAATCTGTCAAGATTTTTAATATAATCAGCAAATAATTTTCCTCATATTGAGCGTGGTATGAACCTTGTCCACTAACCAAAAATGATAAAAAGAAGCCAGGATCTGTGTAAAGTTTGAGACACTGCTGTAATGCTGCCCCAATGGACTTACGTGCAACACACACTGGCCACAGTGTCCTGCTCCCCCTTCACCCAGCTGTGACATCTCCTCAAAGCAACACACCATTAAAACTGAAATTAATGAGACACACGGCCATCTATTTTCCCCTCTGGTTTTATATATTTCCCCATGTCATCTCTTTAGACATTGGTGACATCCCTGTAGCCTGGCAAAAGCTGTCTGGCATTATAAAAGACATTTGATTTCCACATCACTGCTACTTCTCAGCAAAAGGAACAGAGCCAAATGCAAAGCCTCAGGTGACAGGGGTTAACGAGGGCCTTGCCAACTCCAGACAAAGCAGTTTTAAGCATTAGAAAGCATCTACAAAACGTTGCACTGTGCTTCAGGGCTGTAAATTAAGAATTCTGTCTGGCAAGAGCCAACACTGGCAGAGAAAGAAGAAAGACAGTCACCTTAAGGTTACCTGGGAATGCACACAGCAGTCCTAAGTGATGGAGACCCATGAATGCAGCAGTCAAAGACAATAGGAGAGCCACAAAAGAGAGCGTGAAAAAGTGTAACTTAATTAAAAATAAATGCAATCAGCCAGCTGTAGGAGATCACCCCAGCTTTGCTTTGGCTTTCCAAATTTTACAACTTCTTGCAGAGTAGGTAGGTACCCTGTACATATTGTCTGGTTAGCCCAAAATACTAGGTAGAAAGTTATTAGGAAAAAATTCCCCTGCTTAGGGAAGGGGACACTTCTCTAGAGAAGCATGGCAGCTGTTGAATCTAGCTGCTAGCAAAGGCACGCTGCAAAGGAGGAAGGCCAGATGCTAAAGACCTGCCACCTGCTCAGGTATCAGGAGTCCCTTCTTCATCAGTAGTTCTGCCACAAAACACTGCACAGGGAGAATGTTTCTCACTACAAATACTACAGGGAGTTTCCTGTGCTTGTGAGCTGATCTACAGACACCTTTCATCCATTACCACCAAGGGAAGAAGTCTAACCCAAAAGTCTTGTCAGCAGGGTGATCATGGAGGGTTTTAGAACTGCATGTAGTTGTAGTCTGCTTTCCTCCTAGACTTCCCATCTTCTTCTGGATCTATCCATGCAACTCCTGAAGGTGTAACGAAAATCTCCAAAAGGGAAGAAGAGACGGATCTCTTACTTCATGATGGAAGCAAAGCCATCTCTAAGTATGAATGAACTGCACAGGTATCTATTCATGTGTGTGTAGCCATCTGGCAGAGGTTACAGCACTGACTGATGCTATAACCTGCCTAACTTCTGGTGGAGGAAAGCAGGTGATTGATATAGTACCAAGTAACACATTTTAGAATTCCTTAAAATAACGAAGAAAATGCAACAAAGAGCAAGCACTTTATATTTACCCAGCCTAACCACATCAATTACATGCATTTTTCCACCTGAAGCCTCATTTGAAAGAGGGTCTCCATGTAACCAAGGCAATGTGGAAGGTTCAGATCACACTTCAGTGAGTTTACTCAAAAACAACTGGGAACATTTACCAGGTGAAGACAGTACAATGTCCACCAAAGGAAGTGGAAGATCGTGCTCTCCTCAAATGCAGGTATTTGGTGGGATTGAAGGAAGAAACCACGCATGCACAAAAAAGGGGAAGAAATTAACTGAACAGCTTTTTCTAATCAGGATTAGCTGGGACAACAGCAACAGAGGCATATAGACATCCCATGCTTCCCTGCTACAGGCTGTAGTGTCTATGCTATATAAACATAGTCTAAGATCTTGCATGGTGTCATCAGGCCTCTGCGTGGAGTCATGCACAGCTCTCCATGCAGTCACAAAAAAGTTAGGCTACTGACACAGCATGCAATAGCATGGGCTTCACTGGGGGTCCTTTAAAGCCCAAAGAAGCTGCTCATTCAACTTTGTGTTCCTGATCATCTGCTCTGCTATAACCCAGCTACAATTTAATTTCAGAAGAAGGCAAGAGGAGATCAGGAGTGCCTGGTTTTAGCTGAGCACATGACTGGCTTTTAAGTCCAACACCCTTATGCAGTAGCCTTTCCCCCTGAGATATTTTAAATTAAAATCCAAGCTGGTATAGGAAGAAATCACATCCCATCCTCTTTATTGAACGAAGGGAGCCAGCATTCCTCCTCTCATTAAGCATGCACTACATGGATTGCTTGCGAGAAACTCTCGTGAGTGCCTGAGGTTCATGCCAACTAACAGTTTAGTAAATCCTCCTCTTTGAGGCCAAAGGGCTGAATGTAAGAAAGGGGCCAGGTTTCTAGCTAAAATTACATTCACCAATAAAGCTCACGAGAGGTCAAATTTTGCCATAACTCACTCTCTCCTTGGTAACTGATTTCCCCGTCACTGGGGAAGGAGCAAAAGAAGGAGGAAAAATAAAATGTGTTTGTCTGAGAGCCCTAAGGGCTTGCAGTGCTGGAGGTGCAGAGCAGGTTCCTGGATTCTCATTTATCAATCTTAAAAGGGATGGAGTGATAAATGCACAACTGGCCCTTTAATATTTTATGCAGGTGCTAAAGCGACTTAGCTGTCACCTCCAATACATCACCAGAGGCTGATACACCAGCTTTCGTCACTCCAGGCTGGGAATTTTTACAATTTCATTTCTATTTCCCTCTGTTCACATATTTCCATGTATTTCTTACTACGTGTGAGATATAAAATGTTATTTTCCCCATATGATCTACCCATTCCCTCTTCAGCCCCATTCCTTAAGAAAGAAATAACCCCATGCTTTGTTCAAGATTTGCACTAATCTTGACTCTCATCATTCAGGAGGGATAAAAAACTGAAATCACTTTACATTCTGACAAAGGCTGATGATTCTGCCTTTTGTGGAAGGGAAATCCCCACGTCCCTCTTTTTAAAGATAATAACTCCACAGCAGAATGATTTACAAGTGCCCCTGAAACACTGGCGCACCTCGAAATCCTCCCTCCAGGAGAGTAGTAGCCCGTATCCTCTTCTGTCCGCACCACTCGTACTCTTCAAAGCGGTTGCCGTTCTCGTTCTCGATGTCCACAGAGTCATCCTCAGTCATGCATGAACCTTCTCTCTGCATGGGGTAAAGCAGGGGCAGAGTCTTGAGATGCACGAAATGGCTCTTCAGGGTTCATAACTCATGGTGGGATGGGGAAGAAAAGCTGAACTGCTCCCAGGATAGCAAAGTATAGAGCATACAGCAGCCTCTATTCCTATCCCTGTTCCTACTAACCTAAACTAGAAGTAAATAGATACTGGAAGAAATTTACAACCTAAGATCAAAACAAGTTGCAAGTTTCATAATTTTTACTCAAGGAAATTTAAGGTCTGGTCTCTACAATAGTGCTGGCATTCATTTCAACAAGCATTCCCCTGGCTGGCATGCAAAATTCGTCTATCATGGAGGGACATGATAACAGAGATTCCTTTGACCCCCAGCCGAAGTGTTCTCCTGTAACATAGTTTTGGGGCATACTAATCAACATACACCTCTCTTTATACTATGCACCTCTTGAGGCACCAAGTCCTCTACTGAAGTTTGTTCCTGAGAAACATGAACAAAAAGCCCTATGACCAAACTCTCTCCCTCCCCCAGGGCTTGTTTCTCTTTCCTTGCTGTTTTTGGGATGAACAGCAAGAGAATGGTTCTGCTTAAATGCACTTCCCTGGAGTAAAATGGTCATGCAACCTTTACAAATCCCAGCCTGCTACAAAAGAACCCAACAAACAAAAATTCTAAAGTTGTCAAAGGCACAGAACGAACTGTTCTTCCTGTGCTACATAGGATGCCTGAAATCCTACAAAAGGTTCATAAATTTCAATAGCTCCACCTTTAAAATCTACAAATTAGACTTCTGTAACAGCAGAAGAGCTCATGAAGTAAAAAGTTACTAATGCAACAGAGCAGAAAAATCCAGAGGAATCCATCTTCCCAGACAAAGAAATGACTATAGATCTTAGGGTGACAGTTAGCATTGCCTGCAAGCTCAGCAATGTTAGTTTTTGCCCCACATTAGGTCAACTGCAGACAGAGCTGGGAGTAGGGAGAAGGGAATGGCAGCTGGTGATCCTGCTGCGCCTCTACCTTTGCAAGGCATTGTTCCACATGCCTACTCATCTCCTCCTCGGATCCTGACAGAGGTCGGCTGCAGAGGGGACATACCTGCCCTTCGTCTTGCTTCCTCCGTTTCATTTTTCCAATCCGAGCTGCATGGAGAAACCAGGGAAAGAAAACAAACAAAAAAGGAAGACATGTCAAGTTTGTAGATCCAGTCTTTATTTGTTCAGCTCCAAACAATAAACCCTTGGCAGAAATGGTAAGATTTCACACCAGAAAATCCCATTGTAACTCTATTCTGACCTCTATAAACAGTACAGAGACTGCTACTTGGCACTTTTCAGAGGAAATCTGTAACCTGTAGCTGAGCACTCTGATTCCACAGAGGCAGCTATTCACAATTTAACAACTAGGAGAAGGAATATCTGCTGCACAACCCATGGGAAGTTATTAGAATGGTTAAAATCTTTCCCCTGGAAACCTGAAATTGTTTTCAAATTTGAGTGATCAAGCCAATGAACCCTGATTTGGATTTTGCCTTCTGAGTCTGAGGCCCTTTCACTAACACATCTATTCCTTCTACAAGAAATTGCTTAGAATGTAGAAGGATGATGTAGCACCTGATAACCTTGGACAAGGTATTTTACTATCACTTCCAGGACCACAAAGCCTCCTGTACACCCTAAAAAACTCCTGAGAACACCATAAACAATTAAGAGCAGTTGGTAGCAGGTAATATTTAGGGAAAATAAAGATATTTGCTATGAAAAACACAGGACCCATGCTAGATAGCTTCTCTCTGTTGTTTTTATTTCATGAAAATTAGGGGCTACACTGTCTTCTTGAGAGCATGCTCTAGGAAACAAACATGTTAGGAATCACGATGATTAGAAAAAGCAGCCAAGATAGCCTGTTGCTTAATCCAATAGCTGGTTAATTTGAGCCATCGTTTAATGTGATCAAAACATCTGGAACCAAATCATTTGCATTAAAAAGAACTTCTGTCTTTTATTATGATGGCTTTAGGCAGGTATTACTGAATAACTCAATCACTGGCTGCAGGAAAGTCACTGTTGAATTAATAAGGAAGGTCAAAATTCTGAATGAGAGACAAGAAAAAGCCCAAGGAAAGCCCATGTGATAATGAGAGATGACACCACCAAAAAGCTGTGTTAGCCAGAAATCGTTACTGACATTGTGAGCACTGCAGCATGCTCTGAAAGCCTTCATGCCTGAGCATTGTGGGATCAACAGTTTCCTGCAGCCAACGAGTCAGAGAAAGCTTCTGGAATGCCAGGATGAGAAGGACCAGTGTACAGGAAAGTTTATTTCAATTGTTTTCTAAAGTGCATCAGTTTACAACACACACATCAAGTGAATTATAAAGTTTCAGCTGAACACATCAGCACAGACCATGAAGGCCTCCTTCAAGACTTTCTTGTTAGCTTCCCTGGACTCGGGACTCAGGCTTAGGATATACTTTCCCACAATCTGGAACTAGGAGTATTCACCATCCTCTATACTCTCTCATGCTCCACCACTAAGAAAGCTTCAAATTATTCCCTGGGCATTGTTTTTCCTCATTGAAATATATATGCATGAAAACTCCCTGAAAAATACATCTCCACTCCTCACATCCTGGAAAGCATTCTGTAAATGTGACATTCCTAGAATAAGAGAGAGCAACTTGAGAAGGAAACAAGAATGGTTTAGGTATCTGGCACTTTGAGCAACAAAGACTCAACACACAGAGCTTTCATCATTTGTCTAAATTTTATTTGTTGAAGCTCCACAACCCTCTCTTTTGTTGGGGACACCACACTGCCAGTTCCACAGCCCTCTTTTTTAGGCAGTTAAGCCACACGCTTTCCGGCTTGTACTTTAGTGCCCAAGACATTTCTGAAGCTCTGGTTTAGTGCATACCTATATCCTTCAGCATGGCTCTTTCACGTAAGTTTAGGATGCTCTTTCCTTGCCTCACTAGCCCTGTAGAGCCAGCAAAAAATATGGAAGGAGGCTAGAATCAGATATGATTTGAGCATTCCCCAGCAAACACCCATCTGGAAAGAAACACAGAAACAAAGCCTTCTCTATCCTAATTGCACACAGAATTTTCCCTCACCTCATCATGTTTTTAACAGGGAAATTCAAGTAAGGAGCAGTTTAATTATTCTGGTAGGACTCCCCATGGCCAAACAATTCAGTTGGAGTAGCCTGCCTGGTGAATTTATTAGTATTTTTAGTTTTTTTACTGCCATCCTCCAGTCCATACACTGTAGCTGAGACAAAAGGAAGACAATTTATTTTGGGTCTTCTATTGATAAATTCTTGGGACCATTTTGCCAGAACAAGCACCTGATCTCCTGCCAAAACGTTAGTGAAGAGCAGGGAAGAGAACCTCACTGCTCCAGCTCTACACCAGACCCAGCAGCCAGCACCTATCTTGACTCATTTAGCTCCACAGAGAAGCAGCCCTTTGAGCTGCAGCACCACAAGTGAAAAAGCCACTGGAGGAAAAGAGGTGTTGAAAACAAATCCCCCTGCCATTTTCATTCTCTGCTCATTAGCAGCAGCAGCAGCGTCGTGCCCACGGAGGCCACGGGTGCCCCTGGTGACAGAAGGAATGGAAAGGGAGCAGCCCGGAAAGCACATCCGAGCGGCGCTGCCCCTGCCCGACACACGCAGCCCGGCCATCACTTCCAATCAGCGCGGCAGGGACGGAGCGGCCCCAAAGGCAGGGGCTGATTGTGGCGCTGTCCCGAAGGGGAGCAGCTCAAAAGAACACGCAAGTGAGACCACAGGATTGCTAATTAGTGTTGATAGATGCGATCATTTCTAATTAGCTCACTAATCCCTCTCCCCCTCGCTCCTGTCGCAAGAGCATGGGAAAAAAAAAAAAAAAAAGTAATTCTCTCCTGTAATTCAGGAAGATAAAAATGCAGCCAGTTGAGAACTGGATGTACAAAGAGGATAGAACTCGGGGAAGGAGGTTTTTTTCACAAGCCTGACCCATTCTCACCTCTGACTGTGATGCCTTGAAAGGCTACCTAGAACAGAAGCTAGACAGTGTTAAAGGAATAAAGTAGGTATTTATTAAAAAGGCCTTCAAAAGATAGTTGGGCAGTACAAGAGCCCAGCCAAGGCTACACCCAAGATGGATGACAGGTCACATGTTTTTACACTTTTATAAGTTTTGGTACATTTACATATTGGGGTTAATTGTCCAATTACAGCTTCAGGTTCTGAAGTCCCATCCCCTCAGATTGCTCTCCTCAATTTGCTGTTGTTTATACTTTTTGGGCCTGAAGCTACAATGGTGTCCTTGGTTCTTGAGCTGGAAAATGATTGTTTTGCCTAACTAAACTGTGAAGAGAACTTGCTAAAACTTCATAGGAAGTTCAGAAATATACTGCATTATATACTAATGCAGTACAGAATCTGGAAAATATGAAAGCTAAAACTTAAGGCATAAGCGAACAAAGACTCCATAGCTATTATTCCAACCTTCTGCCAGGAGGTGAGGACTTCACTAATTTTTATTAGCATTAATAATTATTATTAGGCTATCAGAGGGCTTCCAGCACCTCTGAGGCCTCACTTGTAAAGATGTACATTACCCTATAAACGGCTCCTGCTGCAAGTGCATGTTCTCCTTCAGATTACATGAAACCATAAGGCACCCGGGGAGTTTAAGTCACCAAAGTAGATGAATGAGAAAGAAGCACATGGAAGTGAGCAAGAACTGGGATCCTCTGCAAGGGGAGGGGGATGTTATGGTCTCTGATTTAACCTAGGAGCTGTGCTGGCTAAGGGAACTGCTCTTCCTTTCACTGATACGTACTTCTCTATTGTGGGGCTATGCAAGGTGAGGCTGCTTTCACTGGAGAAGGAGCCAAAATGCACTTGACAAAGCCACTGCTGCTGAGGATACACTGGTTCCTGCCTTCCCACAGGTGCAGAGACAAGGAGCCAACCCAACACTGCTGCTTTATTGGCAGGAGAAACCAAGGATCTTTTCTAACAATGAGCTCTCCTCATCAAGGCTGAACCTTATTAATGCTTAAAGATCATGTTACCCTGTAGTCCAGCCAAATTTCCTGTGAGAAAAGCTAATGGATTTTAGTTTTCATTGGTAGTCTCCTCCCCAAGCAAAAATTCACCTTCAGGACAGGGCACTAATTACCTCAGAAGTGCTCTTACACAGGATCTAGCAGTGGACATTGCACCAACCTCTCCTACAGCATCAAAGGACATGATTAAGTTACTAGCAATATCTCTTATGGTTCTCTCCACCAGTTTGAGTGGTCCCCTGAGTCCAATGCAGACATCATTAGCAGCTCCTGCAATGGCAGGCCAATCAAATTAAGTGGAAACATTTTTGTCTCCTTTCCAGTGAAAATCATCCAGCTTTATTCCTCCCCCACCCATCAGCTAAAGAAGCACAGGACATGGTCATGGTTCAACAAACTGCATGGTCTGTTTGGAGAGACACTTAGGGTAACCACCAAAACTGGACTCACTTTCTCAGGGAGGTGCAAATGGAGCCTTGTAAGGACCCACTTCACAACTCACCTGAGAACGCAAACTTTGGAAATAATCCTAAATTTGAGTCAAAGATATTCAAGCACAGGAGCTAGCACCTGCTCTCTGCAAATCTACTAGAGGAGTCCTGAGGAGTGGTTATACCTACTTTTGTTAAGTCTATCACAAAAAGCTTTTGCAAATGATCAAACTCATCCACAGCATTTGATGCAAGGGAACAATGGCAGTAGTGGAAGAGCACAAAAGCCATCTCATGACTAAGCAAAAGCAAGTAACTATATGGTCAAGAAGGAATCTGTTCCAGACTTAAAGTACAATTTGCTGCTCATCTGCCCAGAAACAAACATTAAGGGCCAGATTCACAAAAGGGTCTCAGTGCAGCCTTCAGATTTGCATGGCCAAAGTTCCGCACAGATGATTTTCAGCAACCTTCAATGTGACACTATTCTCTGAGGTTGGCACCTACTTAACCTGCTGAACCCATGTTCTGATACACTAAGCCAAATTTTGTGCCTCTAATTTTGAATGACTACCTAACTGCTCTGCACTACTAATCTCCACAAGCATCAATTTCCAGGGTGGCTTAAAGTTTTCAGTTTGGCAACACTGGAAATAAGGCAAATGAAAGAAATGCTTCCTTTGTCACACAGGTTCATCAGGAATCGGCACCTCATGCTCCTGGGTTCACAAGGACACAATCTCTGCAAAGTAAGTTTAGCACAGGTGAGAGGTGCAGGATTAACTCACTGAGGCTGACAGGGAAGTTGTGATACAAACACTCAAGAGCCTAACAGACAGAACATTAATCTCCAGCTCCTGAGCTTGAAAATGCCTTACTTACAGCTCAATTTAAGTTACAGGTCTGACTTACAGAATTAAAACTCTGGCCAGTCAGGTACCTATGAACCACGTTACTATCAGGACCTCATCATGTTGTGGCCAGGCCAATAGCAGCTCACAGAAGACATTTCCTTCTCTACCTTCTCTTCCCACAGCTGCTTTTGCACATTCCTGAACGAACACAACAGGATGGAAACATCAAGGTCCAAACAAGACTGAGTCACAAACAGCCTGGGAAGCCAAGATTTGGGTCAAGGACAATGTGGAGGAAGAGCAAACACTGTGAGCCCTTTTTATGGGAGTAGTTTCCAGAAGTGCTTCTAGAACTCAGTTCATAAAAGCTTGACAGAAATACCAAGACAAACTGTATACAACAATATTGAAAAGTACACATAAAACATAATAAAAACAAACGGAATAGATTTTTTTTTTACAGACTGCATTTGCTATATCTTAAGTTTCTGCAGTATGTCAACAATAATAAGAAACAAGGAGCCAGCTATGTTTGTACAAGTCCTACACAATTTCTAATCATGTAAAATAATCAGGATTAGGAAACTAAAGTTGCATGATTGATTAGAAGCACATTTAAATACAAGATATAGATAAATAAGAGGTTGTTTTTTTTCCCCCTAAAGCATGCCAGTGTTCTCCATCTAAAACATTACTGCTCAAATTACTGTTCAACAATAAGGTGGCAAAGCTTACAAATACTGCAGTTATATCAATGCAAACAAACGTAGAGAATGAAACTGGAAAGCAGGCAGCATTCAGAAGTACAAATGTAGAGACACATGCAGAGAAATGAGCAGCACCATTTGGCTGGGAGCAGACTGCACTACAGGTATGTTTTGGGAACAGCACTAATCAATCACAGAAACCTAAGGTCAGAAGGAACCAGCTCTGATCTAATCTGACCTTCTTTGAGACCCAAAGCACTTCACCTGAATTTCTGCATCCAGCTCCCTGACACCTGGACCCTCTTCATCTCAGGGTGAAGAAGAGAACCCCAGCATTATTAGGGCAGCATATATGTTCTTTCATTTGAAATATGGCTGTACCACAAAAGGTACATACAAAAAGAGTAAAACATCCAGCAAAAATGATGCAAATGCAGTACAAAACTACCTGCCTCCCTTTAGATGAGCACAGGTTCACAAAAACATCCAACAAACCAAGAAGAGTTCCCAAAAGGAGATTACAGTCTACCCAGATTGTGTTGCAGCCCTCCTTTGGGATAGAGACAAAAGCACGAAGCATTACTGAGCCAGTGCAGCAGAGCACACTCACACTAAGAGCTTCTTCTCCTACCGAAGGGCTCCACAACACCAAGAATTTCACAAGTCTGGCTCAGACTTCTAAAAAATATTTAAAATAAGGTGACTGCACACTGTTGGCCTGAAAAAAGGTGGAAGGAGAGAGCTTAGCCCTAGCTATCCAACTATGATAAAGGAACAGTTTGACATCCTTGACTCCAGAGACCTTGGTCACACAAAACAAGTCACCACAGAGCAGTACCTCGGTGTATCTGAGCCATCTGAACTGTCTGCCTGCCAGCACTGGCAGCTCTCTGCACTCATCCTGGAGTGCAGTGAGCCCTTGCCAGCAGTTACCTGTAACTGGTGCAAGGTAACTTATTTCTTTGTTCTGTGACTTAACAGACTTTCTGGAGTTTGCAGTTTTTTCGTCCTCTGGGTTGGTATTTCAAAATCCCAAGGCTAGTTCTGAATTCACCTATTCTAACTCACCCAAGACTTGGATCAGTAACTTCTATTTGCTTAAGACTCCACTAAACACAGAGGGCTTCAAATTCCAGCAAACTGCTTTGCTATTAGCACACTCTAAACCCTTTAGCTACTTTGTTCAAGTAGATCTTCTTCTAAATAAACTCTAAAAGCACAACATCAGAGGTGTTATCCTGAACTACCAGGGCAGAAAGCTCGATATTAATGAGCCTATTAGCCCAAACAACCAAATTCTGACTAAATGTTACATACTAAAGTAGCTACAAGCAGTGTAAAACCAGATGGTAGAACATTGTTACTGTGTACATGGTAAGTTCTGACCTCTGAACTTTGAGAAAAGTTTTAACTTCTTCAGCTCTAATAAAAAATGTTTCCTTTCAGCTTTTCTTTCTTTCAAAGCAGAGAAATAAACTTGAAATAAAGTCACATCTGATTTGGTTTTTTGGAAACCAGGCTGCTGTCCACTAGAAATAGTTGTTTAATTGTTAGGAGCGCCCACAGATACAATAATGAAACTACCACACCAGCATCTGAGAGTTTGAGAGGAAAAAACCCAAACAAAACAAACCATGACGTCAGACGACACTCAGGCTGCTTAAAAGTTTACTGCAAGATTCAGCCACGTGAGCGGTGAAAGCTCAACAGCCGGGCCCCACACTGAAAACACGGGTTTTGGAGCCTGTTTTATACCGGCGGGGGGGGATCCCGGCGGTGGGAGCCGCTTCCCTGGGGAGCCGGGGGTGAGCGTGGAGGGCTTCACCCCAATTCCCCCTGTGCCCCCCCGGCACGCCGAGGCCCTAGCGAGGCTGGTGGCGGCTCCCGGCCTGTGGTGTGGGGGGCGCGGGGGTGTCACACAACTCGGCCCAACTCTGGAAACTTCTCCGGAGGGGCAGGCACGATGCGGGCCGCACTCACCGTTCAGCCGGGTCTGCCGGTTCGCTCGCACCCGCAGGAAGGTCTGCAGAAGGGAGACAAGCGCGGAGAAGCGTCAGGACGCGGATGTACACAACTCGCCCCCCGCCCGTACACAAGGCCCGTACCGGTCCCCCGCGCATCCTCGGGACAACGCACCGTCCGCGGGCCTCCCCCCCACCGCAGCACCCACCTCTTCCCGGCCCCCGCCGCCGGGCCCCCTCTTGCTGCTCTGCATAGCNGCGGGGGCTGGGGAAAGGGGGGGAATGGAATTGTGTTTAATAACAAAATTTGTATGCAAGCCTGCATCCCAGGCTAAGGATGAGTGATCGGCAGCCAGAAAGTATTAAAAAGCCTCGCTAAACAGATGCTGACAATAGAACAAGACATATCAAATCAGATCTACTTCAGAAACATTAATATACACACGCACACACACGCTCGCCCGTGCGCGCGCACCCGGCTCTGCACACCCGCGCTCTTTTCTTCTCAATCACAGCAATATGGGAGACATCAATAAATTTTTATGAGACTTTTAGAAGATCAACACGGTAGTAGATGTGACAAAAAAGCAATGTGCCTGTCATGTTCGCTTTGTCGGGGACACTTTAGCCCCAGATGCCGAGCTGCAGTGCCAGCAGGGAAAAATTGAATTTGGCTGGCTTTAATCTGCCTTGATTTGGCAGATGGCTGGGTGTTATGAAATGAGCAGGGATGGAGGAAGGTGTTTTCTCCTGGGGCTATGGCCCCCCTCCTCTCCCAGTGCTACTGCCTTTTGCCCCCTGCCCTGAAATGGTAGAAACACACAGTTATCCATTGCCATCAGGTCACTCCAAATGCCACAGCTCTGCTCCCAGCAGAGTTCCTGGGGACCACGGATGGATGGGCTGAGGCATCACCTCCTACACAGCCCCAATTCCCTGTGGGAATGTGCTGTGGGATGCACACCAACAGTACAGGATGACCCCTGTGTCCTGTCCCCCAGCTCTGCTCCCCACCCTCAGGAGGTGTCACAGAGTAGTTTTAGTTCCTGCTGCCCACTGAGATGCAGCCCTGGCACCACTTCAAGCCTGTGCAAGAGCAAGCAAGATGGGAAAGATTTCCATTCCCCCTCCACCTCCAGCATTACCCTGAATTTCTCAATCACATGAAGTGTGAAACAACTTTTTTTTTTCCTTTTATAATCCAAATGCCTTGTTAAAAAAACAAACCCATTTCCTCCCTTTTCTTGTTAAAGGTGTTTAAAATTATTTGTTTTCAAGGGAAAGAGGAAGAATATAATTAATTCCTCATAGAAATGGTGTTAGGGCCAGGAAACTGAAGTTTTCAGAATGAGAGTCTCTCTGGTCAGCCAAAAGATCAAGCCTCTGCTGTTGGGACCGATAAGGAAGGAGACTGATTTAGGTAACTTGGCAGACTTTATTTTATTCTTCATCTGGAGGATTATTAATACTCACTCCCTTTCTTGCAATGTAGCTCTACTCTATCACTAATAAGAGCTTGCAATTTGATTTTTTTTATATCCAGAGATACGTTAGGAATAGGCACAAATCCAGGTCATCCAAGCACCCAGATCCTGCAATTCAAGGGTGCTTTTCCCCATCCCACTGAAGAGCCCCCTGAATTACAAGGGCTGCAGCCCCCCGCACCTCTTAAGAATGCTGGCAGTGGGCTCAGGATCGAAAGGCTGTCAGCAAAGAGAAACCTTCCCTTCCATAAACACCGCAGACAAATTAAAAATGGTAAAAGGGAAATCAAGACCTTTAAAGTTCAAACACTTTTCGGTGCCTTTTAAAGTTTTTTTGCTCTAGGCCCTTGCAGACAGCACAATCTTTGGAGACCTTGGGATTCTCTTTAATCACCCAGCCAGGCTGCAGTGGTCTGAAATGATTACACATTTACATAGTAATAACCCCAACACTCCCCACATTATTTCATGGCTAGCATATTTCCACTCAGCGAGTGATCCATGTGTTTTAAATTATAACCTGTACATAGGAAATTAGTTACTAAGTACGATATTCACGGGCTCATCTGACACTTCTAATTAAGGTGATTTACACAGAATTATCTTATGAAATAAAAAAATGGTGTTTTGCTAGCTAATAAAATATAATTACTACCCGCTTTTCTAAGTTACAGTTAGTTTTAATCTATTTGGGGAATTGTTTATCTAGTTCATTACAGCAAAACAACTTCTTTACCTTTTAGGCAACCCCCTCAAAGTACCAAAGAAGAGCAAGGAACACCCTGGGAAGACCCAGTGATTTTGGCAGCCTCCTCTCTCTCCTGAAGACCTTGCACTTCCAAGTGACACAAGGCTGCTTCCTCACTGGCTCCCTTCCTTGGGGCTGAGACACCAGTTCTGTCAGTGCATTCATGCATCCTCATGTTTGATGTCCCCATGGGGACAAAATAAGGCCCCTGCCCTGGTGCTGGCAGAGGGCTCTTCCCAGTGCTGCAACTGCATCACCCGTTAACAGGAGCAGCACACCAGATCCCCACATGCTCCGTGACACACCACTCATTTAGATTAGGGAACATCAGCTTTAAGAGGAGCCTTTCCTCTCAATGAGGCTCTTCACAATGAAAGCAGAACTCAGGCTACACCAGAGACATGCAGATGTCCTTTAATGCTAGGCACACATTTGGTTAGGAGCATCCCCAGGTGCAACTGGGAATCCCCTGGCATGTCCCTGAGTGAGCTTCAAGGGGCTGTTCAGGCCCAGTGCTTCTGTTCTGATTTCCCAAAGGGCAGCTCAGCAAGCCAAGTATGTGCCCTCCTTATCCAGTCCTGGGGTTTCCTCTACCTCTGCCATGGTTGTTATTACACACAGTGACCTTAAAGCCTATTTACTTTGTTATGGTCCTGCCTTTTGGGGTGTGCTTGCCATGGGAAATAAAAAGGCAATACGCAAGGAGCGGTCCCTTATCATCCCCATGAATGGAAGCTGATGCTTCTTCCCACAGGGAAAAATCAGGCCACTAGCTGAAGGTTAAGTTCTCTGAGCTTAGACAGTTACAGTTGTTTCTGCTTATCCCTGAAGGACACTGAACCAGTAAGCAGCAGGTTAGAGAGCTGCTTCTATGCAGCTGGAGTCTTCCAGCTCTGCTACTCTTCCACAAAATCCCTTCTCAGAAGCTCCCAGTTTGACAGGCATCAGCCTGTGCAGCTCCCAGATGACATCCTGCAAAACCAAAAGATTTTTTGCAGCCAATGGATGTATTTAATAAAAAAAACCCCAAAAAACCCAACAAAACCAATTGGAAGCAATTTATTTTTAGCTGTGGGATTTGTGGCTTGAATATGCAGCCTTGGGATGGGAGCCCCAGCAGCAGTAAAAGCCTCCGGCAGAGCCATGTGGATGGCTACGCCAGCTGTAATGGAGCAGTCGCTGGGTAGAGAGGGAATTGGATTTTTGTGAATGCCAGTTTAAATAAGTGGAAGTGTCACTTGATGCTTAAATAAGGAAATGGGAGTTTGATTTTACACCTATCTGTAGGTGACAGCCCTCAGCATGACCAGGTGTGATCTGTGCCGTCACAGCAAGCACACTGGGATTTTTAACCTGCTGTGGCTCCTCCAGTGGCACCATGGGATCATGATAGGAAAAGGGGCTGCATGATGGTAAAGAATTGCCAGAGAGGCTGCAGTCAGGGCTTGAAATCTTCTACACCTACAGTGCCAGACGTGCTTCCCACATACTCCTCCAGTCAGTATTTGTGAGACCTCAGTGACCAACACAGTCAGTTGTGACAGATCTGACCCACAGGGCAGTCACCCACCTCCCCCAAAGAGATGAAATGCAGCAGAATCATAAAACACTGTGGCATGACCTGACCACGCTGAAATCCCTTATTTGCTCTGTCCTATTCACATCCCCAACTCTTTCTGCCCTGCTGTTTTTTCCTTTATCAACCTCTGGTACCCCCTGTCCCCACTCAGCGTGGATAACGGATTTCTGGGTGAGGATGTGATGGTCCATGTGTGCAGGGCCAAAGAGGAGACTGTGGCTGGGGGGTAGTTTCATTTCTCTCCCACTATTTGAAAAGGAGGTGGCTGGAAAAATAAAAAGGAAAATCAGAGGGAAAGGTCATGCATTAGATTGATTTGGGGGGCTCTTTGCTACCATGGCTATAATGACTGTTTAATTATTCCCAGCTCATGTGGCAGTTCAGAAGAGGCTCTGCAGAAGATATGCATCGCTCCAGGGTAAATAACTGACCGGAGATTTATTTCTCACCCTTGGGTTTCCACACACCCCTTCCCAGGCCTCCTGCTACCCTGAGAGTCAGCAGCAAAGGAAGGCTTTGCCCTCCAGAGTTCCTAACCTCAGCCTTCAAATCCATGCCCTGGAGTCAGGGAATGGACTGCAGGTATCACAGCTCTGAAGGCAATTTAAGGAGTGTTCATAACCCTTTTAGGGCACTGCATGGACAAGGGAAAATGTGACCCACACACTTTTTTCACTTGCTGTGCTACCCTGGAAGTTCTGACCCATGAGAAGTGCTTCTCAGCTATGAACTCTCATTATGGACAGTAGTCTCTGCCTTCCCTGGGGTCTGCCATGGAGGAGAGGAAAGGGGCATCTCTAAGCAGGGCAGGCAGCTGCCTGGCTTGTGCTCTCTCCGTAGGAAAAGCCACGGGTGAAGGGTCCAGGCTGCTGTCATTGCCACCCTCTAAATGCACAGGAGGAAGCTGGAGGGTCTCTCTTCCCTTTCTGTCCATGATTAATCTGCCACAGTGAGGGGCAGGGACACAAATCAGAGGAGGAATGAAAGAGGATAAATCCATGGTATCAGCAGTACCACATTGGCTAGATAATAAACAGACTCCTCTCCTCATAAATTTCTCTCCATTCCTACATGTTTCCCCACCATCAACACTGGCAGACCTGGAGCTGGACTGCTCCTGGCCTTTCCAGTGTCCTGGCTGGTGGGAAGATCTGTGGCTTTGCCAGGGAACCTGGGTCCCTCCACCTGGTTTGGCATCTTTCATTCCCTGCACAGACTGGGGTGCAGCATGAGCACGAGGACGGCACAGTGGAGCCTCATCCCAGCTCACTGGAGTTTAGAGGATGCATGGGACACCTGAGGAGACTGTGGCGAGGTGATCCTTAATAGCATGTGGAGTGGGTGGGAGAAGCACTAGAGACACAAAGCACACTTCAGTTTACTTGGTAGATTCTGTCTCAGTGCCCCAGGGTGGCTTGCTTTCACTGCCCCAACACCACACTGTGTCCTCACTC